GGGCCTCTGTATCAAAATGAGGTTAAGTGCTCAGCCTTTGATATGGAAATGTTTTTCTATTCTCTTGCAAATAAAACTCATTTTCACAAGAAAGGTTGGGCACTTGGCCTCATTTTGAAAGTGAGGGTTTTTGGAACTCGGAAGTGGCCTATTGGTTTATTATGCGTGGTCGCAGCTTACGAGAAGCTCATTCTCGTAAGCGACCAGCCCTAGGTACGACCACTTTTTCGAATTTCATAGGTGGTCGCTTACGAGAGCTTCGACTGTATTTATATATTGAGGACAAGAAAATCTTATTCGCTGACAGGTTTCTACACCTATTCGTGAAAAATTCCTAAATTTAGAATGTCGTTTACCCATTTATAAGAGCTAGCACAGGGAAAATTTACGTGGTGGTCAGTTCACTAAATTTGGTATGATTTCAGTTCTAGAGAAATAGTGGTAAAAACGTCAATAAACCACAGTGTAGCTGCAAGTTTATTTAATTGGTAGGATAGAAGAAACGGGGGACAAGTTGTGGTATGGTGTAAACCAGAACAATGAACAGAAGCAGTAGCATTGTTTTAATACAGTTCTTGTAAATGCCTTTCTTACGTGCTGTTTTGTTTTTGTGTCAATTTCAGAATGTGAATCCGAAAGAGTTTTTGATTGGCTCAAACGTTAACAGAAATAGAGACGAAAGAAACCATTACTTATCATAAGCTCCATCTCACACTCCCAGTCTCTATTATAAGGCCTGGGTAAATTCAATCTCTTTGATTGCTCGTTGCGTTTGACTGAAAGAAATTCGGTTCGATAGGATACTGGCCATGTAGAACCCCGCCTTATGACCAACCCCTTTATACGACCACCTCGTTATCGTTCGACCTAAACGAAAGAAACACCGGTTATTTTATTATTTTGAAGATTCCGTTAATAAGACCAGGATTCTATGGCCCAACAGTGGTCGAGTTAACGGTGTTGCACTGTCGTGCTCGTTTGTATTGACGATTTGAGAAGCGGGGGAAAATAGAAACGTCAGCACCAGCTATTATTCAAAAACGTAGGAATTTCAAAAGAAGTTAAATGTAAAATATGTTGGTCTGAAATGTCACGGGTCAGGGAGAAGAGACGGATGAAATTTCAGACTAAAAGAAAATGTGAGTTGAGTTTAATTTTTAAACATTATTTGAACCTAATTTGCTATTAAAGAATGATTGAGTTTGCTGTCTTTGAGTTTGATCAATACCCCTTGAATGGCTATCGCACCCAGTCGCACTTGCATGTCCCTCTCACCAGGCAAGGGGGTACTTCCTTATTTGCCTAAACGAGTTATGTGCCGCTGAGAAGCCGCTAAATAGGGTACGGGTTTTAGGGTCTTGAATCTTGGGGCCTGTTTACGCGGAGGTGGGGGACCCTAGGTAGGTGAGGTAACCCGGTTAGGTGGGGTAACCCACCTGTCCATATAATGTCTCGTATGATCACTCCACATATCATGTAAACGCAATCAAATTAATATAAGAGATTGTATGGACAGGCGGGTTACCTCGCCTACCTGGGGTCCCCTACCGCCATGCAAACAGGCCCTTAAACAGGGTATGATAATGTCACAATTTGTCGTTTTGGACTGGACGCCTTTAGAAGACTGTGAAGGTTGGCTATGAGTTGTCACCATATGTGGTAGGCTGCACCTACAATTTTCTACCCCCCCCCCCCCCCCCCCCCCCAACACCCAACACCACCCCCACACCCAACAAAAAATAAAACCGACACGGGAAAGCTGCCCGCGCGCGCCCGCGGCGAGGGGGCCGGGGCGCTGCCCGGCTCCCCCCGTTGCTCTCTGTGCTTCTGTCTTCTGTGGTCCCGGCATCCCCCCCCCCCCCCCAAAAAAAAAATCCCAATTCCATGATACTAGTTTAACAAAATGGACTAGGGTTTGAATAGCCCGCGTAGCTAGCGGGCGAGTGCTGTCGGGTCAACTTTTCCCGTCGCGTTGTGTCCTTTTGTGTTTTTGCCGACTGGGAGGGCCGTACAGATGCCCCCTTCCCCCTCCCCCGTCCCCCCCCCTACAGAAAACACCCTGCTCGAGGATTTAAGTACGGCCCAAGGCCCGTCGCCGAAGGACGTTCTCAACTGAGGGGAAGGTTTTTTCCTCAGACAGCACTGCCGTACAAATACCAAACCATTTAACTTGAATATTTTTTTTGCTGCAAAAGGCGTGATTTTTTATGTAACCATAGCTGATCTATACACCTGTGAATACAACTTGTTATTGTCACGTGCGAAAAAAAGTTTTCCACGCGAAAGATTTCTTGGCATTTCCATTGGTGTGTATATAATAAATGAGTCTTTGTAGACAAAGAATGAACCCAAACAAACAACAACACCATATATGAAAAAATCTTAAATTTCATTAATATTTACAGTACATTAAATAGACTTTGTTTAGAAAGGCTGAACAAGCACCAAGGAACACAACGTTACCAATGAACACGAACATTTTAAAAAGGTTTATCTTTCAACTGTTACGTGACAAGTCTAACTCTATCCTTGTGAACTTTAAATTTTGGATTGCTTGAAACTTTCTTCTGAAACAAAGCTCGCAACTCGTTGTCGGTCAGATTTTTCTCATTTGTTCCTTTTGCTTGAAATTCTGCCAGAACCTAAAAAAAATCCAAAACAGTGTTTAGAAATGTGCTAAAGCATAATTTACATATTAAATGTCTACTTTTCCCTGCTCAGATCTGTTAACTTGTTTGAAATCATCCTTTGTAAGGTGATCATAGGTGTCCTAAGTTAAGTCATCATAGCAGGGACAAGGGCCTAGACATTCACAGTCAAGTAGACAGACAGACGTCTAGCCTGCGAAAACAGCCGTTTCTCCTCTCTCCTTGCTCCTCGCTCCTCGCCGCTGGGAAGTTTCGCGAGGAGGAACATCTGCGATTCAGCGACAGAAATTCCATACTGATGACGTAAATCAACGTTTACATAATACATGTAAATGCAGTAGTCAAGGGGTTCCAATGTTTGTTCAATTATACGTTTCTCCTGGTCGATTTTGGTACAGTGTTGTGTTCACCTGTGAACGAGCTCCCGCAAAACTCAAATACTTCTCCTAGAGAAGAATATACTCCACAAATATTCACTGTTTTGTTATAGATTCATCGCATTTACCTTTTGACCTTTGCAGCCTTTTGTATACTTAAAACAATGTAACTACTCTGTCATCCAATCAGCGCTCATGACCGGATTCCGGACAGATTTTACGTCATCAGTATGGAATTTCTGTCGCTAAGTCGCAGACGTTCCTCCTTGAGAAACGTCCTCAGCAGCAAGGAGAAAGGATAAACGGCTGTTTTCGCAGGCTAACAGACCTCTTGGTTTGTTACCTTTTTTCTTTGATCCAGTTAATTTTGGCCTAGCAAACACTCTTCAACTCAAATCAGTTATAGGTGTATCAGGTCTATACGAGATTATTAGCCTCTGAATACAGCCATCTCTCCTTAAGGTAATGCTACACGAGACGATTCGCAACGACGATTTTTAGCGCAACACAGCATTGCAATGCTGGAACAATGTTGTCACCATCCGAAACAATGTCGCAATGCTGAGTTGCAGTAAAAATCGTCGTTGCGAATCGTTTCGTGTAACATCACCTTTACTCCTTGCTGCCAGGGACGTCCCTCGTAGGGAGGGGCAAGGAGATGTGGCTGGATTCACAGGCTAGCAAAATTTAACAAGAGATGCAGTAGCAATAATTGGGGACAAACCCTAGGTTTGGAAAATCTCTGCCCTTCAAAGTTTGAAACCCAGCAATAGTTTACCTTCGTCGTCATCAATAGTAACATAAGGTTAAAATCTATTGACTTGCCACCTTGTAAAAGTGACAGCCTGTATGACCAATCACATGAGCAATATCCTTACAAATGCAGTGTGTTATAATAATCATGAAATTCCTAATATTTTGATTTTGGTTACTCATAAGGGTGTACCTTTTTCCTCAATCTTTTGACGGGTAACTCCTGATCTGGAGCTTGTCTTAACACTGCCTTTATCACCGACTTCCACTTGAACTGATCTGAACAAACAACAAAACAAGAAATACTGGTAAATGCCATCAAATTATTTATTAATACCTACAAACACATAATCCAAAAAAATATATATAACTTTTTATATATATATTTTAGGACAAGTAGTAGATTGACCATTAGCTTTTCGCAAGCACGATACTGTTTTGTTGGATTTCTTTTTGCTTCTCAAATACACAAAAAAATCTGCTGGTAATTATGTTTAACAATTCTGGCAATTTTTTTTTTTCATAACACTCTCTAAGTTTCTGTTCCATTTTAGTTTTGTATTTGTCCTCCACTTCAAGGGCAGAAGTAAGGTTGAAGTGTGAAGGAGATACATTTATGTCAAAATTACGCCATGCATTCTCCTCTTCCTTTTGAGCAGGAAGGAGTTTCAAGCTTCGAGTGGAATCTCGGAACTCTTTGCGGAGTTTCGAGGTTCTTTGAGACTTTGTAGAGTTTCAAGCTCTCCCATGAGACTTTCAGAGTATCCTCTCTAAACACAAAAAAAGGGCTGCATGAAGGTCATGGTAATTGTGTTTTGCTTTAAAAATCCTTATCAATAAAAGACAACTTCACCCAATTTGGTGCCAGGGGAAGCAAAAATGAATCAAAATACTTACAAGGCTGTTCTTTGGCATCTTCTGTTTCAACTTTTGAAACTTTGGCCTGTGTGTAGGGTTCATCTGTGATTTGCAATCAAACAACCAAGTAAAATTTAATGTAATCAGTGGACAAGCCTTTTCCGAGGATTCTTATTGTGAGGATGGTGTAAAGAAATGTAAGCAGGAAAAACAGTGAGGGGTAAAATGTAAAGTAGGTAGTGAGAGCATCTTCTTTCTCCATCTTCCTACCTATTTTTTTCCTGCTCTCTGACTCATTCCACATGCCATTAAATCTGAATGCCCAGAACAGACTATTGGTGGATAATCTAGGGGAGAAGTCCAGATAATCCAGACTTCCTTAAATAGCCTATTGAGATCATACAGTAGATTGGTTTTTAGTAATGGTATTCGACTTCACTTGAGGATTTAAGCACTGTTAATGCAGAACCCTGACTTGCAAAAACACCTCACTCTTTCTGCTCTAGCATAAAACACTGCCTTGTTAACACCATCACTTTTTTGTGGTCCCTAGCGTTCAAAGAAAGGACATGTAGTGTCAGATAGCCCAAGGCTAATGGATATTTAACTATCAGGCTACTAGTGAATTCAGTTCTTAACTTACCTGATGGAAAGACAATGTTTGAGGGGAATTCACATGTATTGAAAATACTATTACACCTTAATTCCTTTCCCTGCTCAGACCTGTTAACTTGCTTGAAATCATCCTCTTTGAGGTGATCATAGGTGTCCTAAGTTAAGTCATCATAACAGGGTTGAGAGGTGCTTTGAGTTGGAAAACAGATGTTGTGGTTTTCAACAACTGTCTGTGGGATAGGGCTACAAGGCCTATCTGCACAGGCAAAATACAACATCTGTGACAAATAAATTGTACAAATACAAACTTTAATACCTACCTAATTCTTCATCTTCCCTTCTTCTCTTTTTCTTTTGCTTTTTATTTTCTTTCAGTCCATCTACCTCTGTATTTTTTTTCAAACCCTTTTTATTTTTCCTTTCTTTGAATTCTGATCCTATTTCATGTATATCATTGTCCTTCGTTTTTTCACCTTTCTTATGTTTCTTTGAATGTTTAGCATTACTACAGTCCTCTGATTTTTGTTCAAGTTCTCTGTTCTCTTCATTGTCCCGTATTTCCTCTCCACATATTATATTACTGTCCACATTTTCTTCAAGCGGAGATGTTATTCTGCTTTTTCCATTTTCATGTATACCATTACTACTGCAACTGGTTTCATCTTGTTGTGGGCTTTGCTGAGAAGAAAACAAAAATGTTGTAAGTAAGTGTTGGCCACTCAGCCACCACAAAGCCTACACAATTATATTTAATACAACTAAAAAATGAAGAAGCCAGTTTTTAAAAGGCATCCTAACACATAGAGTAGACACGCTGTACACTTAAGGTGACTCGACCCAGTTTTTTTGGGGGGGTACCATCCTACTTTAAAGCTCTCTGGTATCCCCACCTTTACTTTTATCGTAAGTCTAACACATAGAATGGATAACATATAGATCAATCTACAATATAACATAAAATTCTTGGCGATCGGAGTAAATGTCACGTGGTTATAATGCCACGCCCCTTTGAGGTCTGAGTCGAAAATCTGCTGTTGCAGGCATTTTTTCGTGAAAATCTCTCGCCTACACATAGCGCGCAATAGTGCCTTGCGCTGAACAGAGTTTCACCAAAATCGCAAAGACCCAATTCAAGAAATTCAGCGGTTTCCAAATTTAGGTCATAATTTATGCGAAAATGATAAGCAAACTTTACACGGATTATATCTAATAAACTATGAGATTCATCTCTTTATTTTAGGCATCGTTATAACAGAGGGGTCCTTGCAAGTCAGCAAAACGCTATAGGGCCTTGTAAATGCACGTGATTTCGAGCAAAGCAAACATATAGAAATTATAGTTTTCGCTATTTGTTGACATTTGTCAGCGTTTAAGACTCTTTCTCACGAAAAAAGCATTTTCTTAAAAATTCGTAGTTTTTTTTCCTTCAAATTTTTTCAGGGCCACAATTGATTAACTAACTACCCGGACTCTGAATTTCATGGTCATTGAAAAACTGTGACATTATCTTCTATAAGCCCAAACTTGAGTAAACATTGAAGATTTTTAGCGTTTTGGCTGAGTTTGTGCTTTGGGAGTTGTCTATTGTTTCTAGTCTGTCATTATACAGCATTCTTGTTCAGCACGCGTGCAATGACCACGCTTGGCTGACTTCCGAATGCTCACCGAGATATTCCCGTCACGAGTTGGTTTAATTATTGGCTTGCATTAAACCTATGAAAAAATGATATTTTTTTAATAGTAAGTAGATTTAGTGTGTAGCACTTCTTGATTTTTTGCGAAGGCTCAAGAAGCACGAGAATTGATTAAAAATTTTGAGTTAA